CACTCTTAATCGACAGGACTATGTACGTAATTATAGACTAACCTGACGTTATCGCAGCGTCTGACAGGCTCGCTCGAATGAATCCTCTTCATCGATTCTCTTCTTTCGTTTCTTCTTTCACTAGCACCACCACGCGGAAGTTTTTGTTTTTTGTTTCGTATAATTAGTCTTTCTTTGGCACCGTAAATCTTCCTTTGAGCGGTTACTCCTTTGTTTGTTCGTTCGGTTTCTTGGCCGGCAGACTGCGATCAACCTTAATTTCATAGTTAGCACCTTCGTTATTCGAATTCGTTTGACGAACGCGCGTACACACAGCAGCAAGTGCATCGCGAATTACTAGCTAAGGACTAAACGTTTCTGACGGACATCGGGTAGCTGGTCTCGTAAGGGATGAGCCTCGTCGTTTCGACGCCATCTTTGCCGTTTCTCCTACGTTCAGACATTTTTCTTTCTTTCTTTATTGTAACCTGTACAGTTCGTCTTTCACGGAAGCGAGGAATCGTTTAACGTAACGTGACGCGTCCTTGGAAGCTATAGAGTTCTGAATGAGCTTTGACGAATTTATGCGGGCGAAGGGTCAATCTGAACTTGATACGAAACCATGGACGATTGGAGACCTTTAGCTCTTTGTACTCGATACGATAATTGTACTGATAATTGTGTTTAATGAGCTCATTTATACAAATTTAATTATGTGTTTTAGAACCTCAGAGGGTCCTAATTAAGTATTATGTCTTTGAGTGCGTTTTCCGGAAAGTGTTTTGTAAACTGTGTTTAAAATTGCGTACAATCTTTCTGTAATAATATAAGGAGAATTAAGGGTATTTATTACTATTTTGTAATAAGCAAATGTTTATAAGAAACAATATATGTTTAAAAATTTTGTTGATGTATTCCTTAAATTTCTTTGATCTTATTTTTGATAATTTTGTTGATATATCTTCTTGATATTAAATAATTTAAATGTGTACTGTATAAATACAGAAGATATTTCTTCAACAAAATGTATGAACAAATGTGAAAATAGTCTAAGTTTAATACCAAAAGTTTAAAACATTATTAATGAATCCTTCTTTTAAACAAATTTTTACAATATTGTATTGTGATATACAATTACAACCATATTTACTGTTTCTCGTTTTACGAATTATAAATATTAAAAAATTCTTAAAATAACACGAATTAATGCAATAAATTAATACAATAATTTTGAAAATTATAGGAGTTATTCAAAAGTTAAAGTAGCACATTTTTGTATTAATTATATATTCATAAAATTTTGCAGTTGATAAGTGCCATATTAAAAAAGCAGCTTGCGAAACGTTTTTGAATACAAACAAATTGGAAAAAAAATGAATTCTCGAAGTAAGAAATGACTTAGACTTCTTTCGTTTTTATTGATTACAAATGTAGTGTTTTAAACTTCTCATATTGATAATAAAACAATATTATTATAATACTTTACCGATCTTTGAAAATTTTTGAAATTTAAGTATGACGTAAACATTTAAAAAAAAAAGAATCGCATGTCTGATCACCTACGTCTGATTCTACTGAATAATGTTTGCTGAGGTGTTTATTACTATCAATTTTACAACTAAATGAAAATTACATAGATTTATGAAATAATAGAAAGTATTATTTCTTGATATTTTTGCAAATAAAGAAACAATAAACAATTGTTAATATTTCCAATAAAATTATTCATGAGTATATAAAATTTATTATAATTAAATAAATAGTAGACCAGAAAATAAACTTTGAATATCAACTAATATCAATAATTGAGTAACACTAAATATATCTTAAAAATTTGCAAACTAAATACCCTAATTGATGTTTCCGCATGTGTTATTCCTCATGTTTCTGTTATCTGCAACTAAATCGAGTACAAAGAGCAAAAAGAAATAACGCCTCCATTTTTCTCACTCTCGGTTTCAACTTTGAGCAACGATCGAGAAATCACAGCGCTTCATAAAACGAGAACAACGCTTGTGTACAAGAATAAAATGTAGAATAATCTTCTGTTCACTCAACTTTCACAAAGTGAATCTTAATATTCAACGACAATCGCAAAATATACTATCGAGTAAATTATTCATCCGTTCGCGATCAAACGACTGTCACTCGTCGTTTGCCTCATTTGAACTTAAAATCATTATCTATTCAAGGATCGATCGATCATCGGGACGACGAAAAATCGACGCAAGCTATGCGGTAACTTTCACGAAAGTAAACTTGAGACTTGGCACTGGGACGGCACGTTTGCAATAGTTGCTGTAAATCTCATTGCTTAATCTTATTTAATGTCTATTTTAAAAGACGGAATAACACGTCGAATAATTGATCATCGGTCCAGGAGATCGATCTTCGTGTTCGCGTTTTATATTCTTGACTGGAAAACAATTAACCCTTTTGTTATGACAATATTCGATCTGAACATTCTGTTATGATGATATTTGTCTGAAGTGTTCATATTATGTGGAGGTACACCATATTCTTGTTTGTATGCAATTTTTGTTCGTATGTCATCTTTGTGACGCAACTGTAGGAGTTAAGATGAATTTAAGACGAAATAAACAAGTGTAGAATAAAATTGTTGTCCATGTATCGTTTCAGGTCTTCGTCAATAAAATTTACATATTCGATATAAATTAAGAACTTAAGTATATAAAATTAGAATGCATATTTCTATAGATTAAACACATATTTTAGAAATTATTCAAGATGGATTTACAATTGATATCATATTCTACAATTCATCGGTTGTTTACTATTTTCTATAAACACTAAAGGTAGTAATTTTTGAAAATTAACTCCTTTAGAAGTACTCTTTTTCAGGTTAAAAAATTAAATGATATTTTCCAATAAATTTATAGTAATTAAATAAAAAACTACCAGAAAAATGAATGAAACATACAAAGAAAACTGATAATGTCCACTGTATATGGCGACTAATTGCTGAATTTGAAAGAAATTTAAACATACACTCAACCCATAAGGTTGATATAGCCTCAAAAGTTCAATAAATGTAATATGATTTCAATAACATTTCTGAGTAGAATGACTATAGTCATGCAAACAGATCTCTGGTCATTAACAGGAAGGGTTAACTGTCCACGAATAATTAAACGACGAGAGCCGTTTGATCGCAAACACTGGCCAGAGAACCGGAAGTTGTTGACCAAGGTCCATCACGATCAACGTGTAAGATCCGTCGAGAAACGGCCTAATATGTGAAACTAATCGATAGTTAGCTGGTTCGAAAACACGAGCTTCCTTACGAGACCGGTCCCAAAGAGAATGAGCCGGCACTCTCGTTTTGCGCTCGCGCATTTAACTTGGACAGTGCATCGTTATCGATGTATCTATATATAAGATGCGTACACGTATCAGGGACATACATATACATATATATATACACATGTAGATAGCAGAATGGACAGTGGCTAAGAAGAGGTTGGAAGGACCGTATAGACCGTGCAACAAGACGCTAGTTCGCGGCTCTTTTAAATGGACGAACCTTGGTTCGTTCTGCGTACACGATTGGGACGAGAAAACACGCTTTATTGCTAGGTCGCTTAAAAAGGGATATACCGAGGGGTTCGAAGGCACCGGCAACGCTTCCCGGAAGGAGCTGACCTTTTTTCAAGCCTATCCTCCGTTCGATGCCAACGTTCAACAACGTCGTGCTGTGATTTTATGGTGAAATAAAGAAGAAATGTGCTCATGGATATTGCAATCCTATAGAAGTTCATTCATATAGGAACATAATTTTGTCACGTAGTAATTTCGATAGCTGCGCAGTAACTATTTCGACAGCTACTGTGCACACATGGAGACAGAACAACCGACCATCCACAAACAACGGAGAGATGTGTTCTCGCAATGTAGCTTCTAAGTATTATAAATTCTATGGGTTTGCGGTTGAAATTCGTTTGAAAATTAATATGAATGGTCGTTTGTTTCAGCAAGCTTATTAACTGATCTGAGCACTGTTCTTTATTGCGCCATAGACGCTTAGGAGAAGTTCTTTCGTTTATTTCTGACGTGAAATTAGGTTCGTCTTTCGAGACATTTTGTGCTATCGAAATATTTAACTGTTACAGTTGTTTAGTTTTCTGTTGATATTTATAGTGGATCAAAAAAGTATCGATACTCAAAGTTTTGTTGAAACTGTTCTATTAATCTTTTCAGGGACTTGCATTGTCTTGCACTTATTTCAGATCGATAGCAATTATTTTAAGTGCTGTTAAAGTGAAAACTTGTATGAATGCTGGAGTCCAATACTTGGGAATTTGTGCAATTGAACTTTTAAGATTACTTTGGAAATTTGGGAATTTGGAAACGTCGGAACTTTGGAAGTTTAAGTTTCTAGAAATCTGAGAACTTGAAGAATTTGAAATTTGGAAATTTGACAATTAGAGATTACAACTGACAGTAATGCTAGATGCCACAGTGAATTAAAATTGAATCATGAAGAGGTTATAAGCTATGCATGCAAATATATTATTGAATAATTTGTGACATGAGTGGCATGATGTTATTGGATAATCCAATACAACATATTGTGCAACAAATGTTACGTATAATATTTACTTCGCTTTTAATAAGATTGTAAAAAGTTGTTTGTTAATACTGTTATGATCCACTATAAATATGATAACAATACATTTGATCAGTCGCATCCCTATCAGTGCCTCCTTTATTCATAAAATTATAGGTTAAGACGCCCTTAATCGAAAAAAGTAAGGAGTCTCATATCTTTTTCCAATTTTGATAAAAATTTTAAGCAAACGTCATTAATTAACTAAACTAGAATTAACTCACAGAAGATATTCAGTTCCCATTTTGACACCCTCGTTTTAATTGTTTAGATGACATTTCTGTAAGTGAGCGTCGAAGAAATGAAATAATATTTGGAAAATTATAGTTTTCTTCTAAGGCAGTGCTTATCAATTTTTTACTGGAAGGTGGAATTAAAAATCGAAATTTAGAAGTTCTAATATAATCAATTCACATAGTAACTGGTATAGTTACTCAAAATTCAGACAAACACATACATCAGTACTGAAAATAAAGCTATTTTTGGTCAATAGAACTGTTATGTCATGAATGGCATATATATTATCCACATATTATTCAGTTGTCGTTTATAATATGTGTCATTAGTTGATAACCACTGCTTTAAAATATCTATTTACTTTGTACTCACCTACAGAAGTTTTATTTTTAATGCATATGGCAACCACGCACACAACTTTGCATTTAAATACTGAAATACTAATGTTTCATTATTCTGACGCTCTCATAAAATGGTGCCTTGGACTGTTATCCTCTTCGCTTGTATATTTCGCTGACGCTGAAGTAAATACTCGAATACTAAATAACATAACTGCATAAGTTAATGCAAAATATTTCAATGGCAGTTACTCGATCACATAACACTTTTACAATTTACTATTTAACCACTTCTTAATTAACACGAAAACTGTCACAGCGAACATATCTATGCCTAATTTGGCACACGATAAACATAGTAATACTTCGGTTTATTATTTTGAATAGCTAATGTAATATCAGTGGTACTCAGAACTTCTTTCTGAATTTATCATCTAGATAAATTATTTTCCGTGGCAGTCAAGGTGTTAATTAAAGCAGCTTTTACAAATCGACATCATATTGAATGTGGACCACCAGTCTACATGTATAAAGTCAGCTATTTCAAACGGTCAAAGGATTTTTTGTATATTTCAAAGAATTTATCGTGAAATCGTTGCATTCGCGAAAGACCTTCTACCCAAGGCGACTCACACGACGAGCACGAGACTGCATGGCATATAGAAAACTGATCGTTATTGCGTGCACTATATAAAAATCGCATCGAGTACACTGACAGCTATTACGTAACGAGTGCACCGTTCGCCAACGGTGCACAAAGACGAAGAAGACAACAAAATGGAGCCGTCACCGGCGACTTTCGTCCATCGCGCCGTTGCGTTCTTTGGTTTCGAGTCCTTATCACAACTTAGTCTCACTAACGTTATGTAGAAATCTTCTTTCTTCAGCAACTCTTATCTCCTTCTTCTACTTTTCTTCGTTCTTCAGTTTACGAGTGTGTCGGGAGTGTTTTCGTGGAAACGCCAGAGAGAGATTCTCGGCGTTCCGAGGCCGGCCAGATCGTCGTTGTCGACGATTACTTCGTTTCCCTTTATTTTCCGTAATTGACTCGTCTTGGTGGGCCAATGGCTGGATGGATACGCGGTTCTCCTCTTTCCAGCTTCTCTTTCGAACGTTCCTCCTCTTCTAATTTAATCTTATCTTTTTCTCCTACGCTTCTCTATCGCGAAAGCGCGTTAATCGCGAGGAGGAACTAGCGGGAAATTTAAACTTTGAAAGATGCGTTCGAAGATGCCGGATATTCCCTAGTCGAATTAATTCGAGTCAATCAAGTGTTCGTCAAGGTTTTTTGAAAGCTTTAGAGAAAATTTATTGTAGCAACAATATTTGAAGGAACAAGCCTGCGTCTTCGAAGTTTACCTTTCCACACACTGACGTTCTTCCACTTGCTTGCGCGTCCTTTAGAATGACCTCGCTTGGCGACTTAATCAAAATCACGCGATGCTCGTCTACTTTGTATTCATTTTACAGAAGAGTGCTCCATCGAGCGTAACACACTCGCTTAGCAGCGAACGCATGAGGAGGTTCATACATAACTACGTCGTTGTATGCAAATAATTCATCATCGACCCCTTGAAGCATGCCAGCCGAATCTCACCGTGTCTTCCTATAATAACTAAAAGTGTCAACATTGCAAAACTTGTGTCTCCATACAGCTAACTCGAAGAATCGTCATCGGCAGGATGCTTCAAGGAGCCAACTTGTTTCGTGAAATTGTTCACGCAGGAACAATTAGGAACAGCCTCTTCTGTAATTACTAACTCTTCTTCATTTGTCAATGCGGCGGTAGAGTATCGGGCGTGGGGGCAAGGACTTGACCCTTTCGTTAAATTCGCTACAACACATAATCTCCACGATTGAATGCCCTGGGCTTCTGGAGCCAGTTGCCCCGACGCCAGTACTCGACCCTAACTTACGACCGCATCGTATCTCTCGAGCTAAACTCCAAATCGAGCATCGCGTTAGGACGCGCCAGCAAGCGTCAAGATCGAAGAACGTCATTTCGGAGCCGCATTACTTAGCGTTGGTGTATATGCGTGGTGAGGTGTTTGGACAGATAGTCGGCCCTGGCGAAGCATTTGCCGCACATCTCGCAGTGGTACGGTCTCTCGCCGGTGTGGATGCGGAGATGCCTGGTCAGATCGCTTTTTCCACCGAACGCACGTCCGCAGAATAGGCAGACGAACGGTCGTTCGCCGGTGTGTTTGCGCACGTGGAGCTTCAGGTTCTCCTTGGACCTGACGCACTTACCGCAAAACGGGCAGGCGAAGCGGCGCTCGCGCCTGTCCACTTCGTGGCTGCTGCGGGCTAAGCTGATCACCGCGTCGGTGGCTTCGGACCTGTCATCGTCTACCGCGTTGTCGTCCACATCTCCAACCTCGCTGGTGCTGCCACCTCCGGCGGAGCCGCCATTTCCAGGTGGCGCCTCGGTCATCTGCACCTCCACAGCCTCCCCGGGGTTGTCGTGCACGCTGGCGGTCTCCGACACGCTCTCCTCGCGGGCATTCTCTGCGAACGGGCCTCTGGTCTCCTCCTCGCCAGGATTGGTCGTCGTGTCGCTTCCGGTCTCCACCTGGGAGGGTTCCCCGGTACTGGAAACCTGATCGCTACGCTCTGCCGCCGCGGACACCACCATCGCACTGCTTTGCGGCTCCGGAGCACGCTGCAGTCGCTCCAGAGCGTGGTTCAACCTATGCTTCTTGAACGACTTGAGATACCTGAACTGCATGCCGCATACATCGCAGGTGAACAGCTTGTCGGCCGGTAATCTGGCTCGGTGGTTCTGCTCACGGTGCTTCACGTACGCGGACCGGTATCGGTAACGTTGCCCGCACTGCTCGCAGGTGAACGGTTTGTCGTCGCTCGCTTGGCCGGCATGCTGGAGCAACGCGTGCCGTTCCAGCAACCAGGCGGAAGGAAATGCAGCCAGACAGACACCGCAACGACGTGCCAGTCCTGCCAATCCAGCGAAACCACCGTGACCTAACAGGGAACCGCTTCCGCCGCTGCCGCCACCAGAACGCTCCACCAACGCGCCCCAACCACCTGCCTCCAAACCGAGGGCCAGGGACACCTGAAACGATTGCGGTTTCTTAGATGGAATCTGACTGGGGAGGGACACACATCTACTTTGTTCTTGATGTTCAGGGGGATAGGAGTATTGTGACTTTCACACTTGGTGTCACCAAAGACGACTCCTTGGATTGCTTTATTACATATCACAATTATTATCATCATATCTAATAATTTACTTTTAACGTTATGCGATTCATAGCGTTAAAATGTGACGTTTAGTTGAAACAGTAGGTCAATTTAAAAATTCTTTTCAAGTGAGATGTAGTGTGAAAGTCGTCTTACATCGCGACAATGCCGACAACAGAGTGGGGTGTATTAAGTCACAGTTTTTAAACTTTAAGGGAGAGCAGATGAGAGACTTGCTATCATTTTGACATCAAAACCTAAATGCTTGAGAATGAAATTTTTATTGTTGTAAATTATGTATAAGTCTATAGGGAACATGTAAGGTGTCAATGTTTAAAAAAGTGGTCTTAATACACTAGCTTTGGGATTTAGGAATGTATATATTTTTGAAATGATTTTATTTGAGAAATTTAAGAGAACATATGGTATAAATGCTTATAGCTAGAAAATTAAGTTTACTTTTAAGGAACAACCCTTTTGGCAATTGTGAAGTGTAAAAAAATAATTAAAAAAAGTTGACTTAATATCAACTCATCCATATACGGGATTCAAAAGACCCGCATTATATTTTCATTCTGAATGAGAAATTTTTTATTCAGTATTTGCTTTAACAAATTTTGAGAAATTGTTATATGTTATCGTTAAATGTTAATATATAAAATCTTGAGTAAGATACATAATATTAATAACGGTGATGGAACTTGCTGTAGCAGCGTGCTGTAATCCCTCCTTTTTACGAATGAAAGACATATAAAATTTATATACATCTGTAAAAAGCATTCTTGCCACATGAGCATATAAAGTTTGCTGTAAATAGGTAATGTGAACAGAATATGTCGTCAGTTTATAATAAAAGACAAAACATGATCCTGTATTTTCATAATTCCTTAATGATATTTTTTCGAAAATTCAAAATACGAGTTTCGTATAGTCAAATCATTCTTGATCCATTGAAGATAAAATTGTATACTTTAAAATGTATACTTAAACTGCTATAATAAAATGTATGCATGTTCATGTAAATTAAACGAGCACTCAAATTGAAGATCGCAGTAGAGTAAAATAACGATTAAATACAATATAAAGATAACTTAACATGAAGTTTTGCTAGAATGAAATGGGAATAAATATACACTTATAAATACAGATATGAAAAGTCATAAAATAACATGCGAGTTTCGAGGAATAATAGAAAAAAAGAGGTCAAATTCAATAGTAGAAAAAACTTACCGCATATTTCTGCACATTTTGTACGCAAATCATTCCTTCGTTCTATTATCCTTAACATCAGAATAGTGGCGTAATATACCCTGACGTTACATAAAAGCGTATAAATTACATAAGAAAGATTTCTGACCTAATATCAACGATAATTGAAACAATCAATTACTATTCATTGAATAAATAATACAAATAATAAAAATTTACAAAAGGAAATATGAAGCAATTCATCATAAAATATTAGGTTGTTGCAGATGAAACATACAATTTTCATTACTCAAAACGTACTACAAAAATCTATATGTATTCCTTCAAAGACATAAACTAATTAAAATTACAAATTTTTGTTGATTGCGAAATTATAATTTTAATTTAAGTTATTCTGGTTTATTTTAGAGATTTATATCTTGCATTGAATCAAATTAATGCCCATGTTGTTCGTTTTTGTATATTTTTAAAATACAAGATTTACTCAGTTTTTAAATTCCCCAATTTGGAAATTTTGAAAATTATAAAATGAGATTTAAGAATTTTGCTATTTCTAAGTACTCCACTCAAAAAATTGCAATACTTTCAAATTTTAATGCATTTCAGACAGTTACCATGTCATTGACTTCTTTTCAACCCCATACATTGCATAAACACTCTAAAATTATTTTGTATAACTGAAATAATATTCAATGATCTTATATATGAAATAAAAAATGTATTATTTACAATATTATGAACTGATATCAGAGTTCATATGTTCCATATGCAACAACCAAAAAAAAATATTCGAAGAGCAAGTCACATCGTTGTTTCTCAACCAATTAGATAGGAATGAACAGAAACCAGACGTCAGGTTCAATGACCTATTGTTAACACAAACAGTTTGCAGCTTTTATTTCACAAATCGTTAATTTACAACTATGATATGCATTCGTTCGCCTAAGAACCGAAACAAAAACGTCATTTTACACGAAACAAGGCGTAGTACCCATAATGATCAGAACGCGTGTCAACGTGGTGACAGTTACGGACAAAAAGTCTTTTCTCGAATATTTTCGCGTCGAGACCCTGGAGTATTCGTGCACGTGGTACAACCATCTCAAAAATCGCCATTTTAGCGACGACGTACGTAATCAACCTTTGCAAACACACATACATACACACACACGCGCGCACACACCCATACGCACACACCTCTTCACGTTGAAGCACGCAAGATGGTCAAACGTCTCATCAAAATGGCCTCCGTCCTCAAACTTCAAAATGGAATCCAAATTTCTTCCATCAAACGTGTTTCAACCGTTCGTTTAACTACTCCAAACTCTTTCCGATTCCTTCGATTCGCGACAAACAAAATCAAATTCATACTCTCCACATTCTCTCTATCGCTCTGTCTATTTTTTCTCTGTGTTGTTTCAGAAATCGTAGTTCTAACGCGTATTCGAGGACCGAGGGACATGTTCTCGAGTGGCGACTTGGTGTGCACGAGAGCTTTCGGGATTTTCCTGTATCCATACTCGTCTTCAGAACGTAACCTCAAAGGGAGGGGCACTTACAGAAGAAAAATCTTCTCCATAAACCATTTGATCTCTCAAAAAATAAAAATTAAAATACAATTATATTAGCTAACATGTGTCTGAAAATTAATCCAAAATCCACTCAAAACATATTTAAAATTTCTTCATTATCAAGTTTTTTAATTTTTAAGTTTGATAATTTATATGTTTTCATATTTTCCCTCCCTTACTTTTTAGGCTACGTTAGTGAGGAGTAGTCGCTTCTGACAACGCGTGGACAAACGTTTTTCACTTTCGTCATGCTTTTTTCTTTTCGTTCTTAGTATCCGGAGACGATAGAACGGCGGGAATCGCGAGTATACAACGAACGCCAGAAAGACATAACGCAGAAGCTTTCGGAGCACCATTTTTCTTTTCGTCCATCATGGACGCCGTCGTCCCGAGTTCTCCATCGATCGGCGTCCGTCATCTTGACGTAAGATCGACCGGTAATTTCGAGACGACGGCTCGCAGAGGAGCAAATTGCGAGAACGAGACGCACCAACCCGTTCGCGTTACTGTTTTCCATTCGTGTCGCGATGATCGCGCTTCGATAATTCGCGTACGTGTCTTATCAGCCACTGTGATATCTAAGATCAGCAAGGTCGTGCTAGAGTCATACTATGCTTCGTATGCATCGGGTGTTCTCGAAGCTGGGGAACGAAAGTCGTGAAGATTGTTCAATTTTCATTTTGCACAGTCTGTTGTTATATACACTGGGAGGATCTGTTGGGAAACGGCAATATAGGGAGAGACACCGACGATCGAAATGTTCGTTGCAAATATGGAGATCAATATCTTGAATGCAATCAATTTTTCAATTTTCGGATGTATGAAGTTTTCAAAGTCTAAGTCAGTGATTTAAAAATTTGTAAATACTTTGAAACAGATTGAGCTGAATCAATTTTTGTAATCATTCTTGTGACGAAAAAATGTTTCACGAAACGTCATGAAGTTTCTGTATAAAAATTTAATTGTGAGTAGCGTAACAAAGATTATTCAGAAGATTCGTCCGAACATTGACGTAAATCGTACGTGATGCCGTTCGCGTCACATTTCACGTCCCAGAGAATCGTTTCGTCGAAAAGAACTTGTCAACTGTCTGAGAAACGAACCGGGACACGTACAGCCAGATAAATCCTTTAAACATCTAGCTTCCGTCGTCTTCGCGACCTTTTCGAATTTGCTTCAAGAAACGTTGTAGATGTCAGGGAACTTGGTCGTTCTTGTATGATCTTAGATTGCACTGATTGTAAGTGTCTGAAGACGTACGTCTGTTACCTGATTTTCGGGAAATTGTTGCAATGATGTCGTTGTTATTAGAAATTTATAGTTAGCATTGTTAACAAATGTAGAAACAACATTTTAATTTATCGATCTAGATTTTTCAAATATATAACGCTGCCATTTTTATATTTTTGTGTGTTACAGTACTTTTAAATACGGATAAATTATTTTTAAAGCATCACAAAATAATAGTATCAATAATACTTTTTTAAATTGATATTTGAATAATATAATTGATTAATAAATGATAATAAATAATAAATGATTGATTATATAATTGATTTTTGAAAATTATATTCATTACTAATTGAGTTATGTAGCGTTTTGCAAATATAAAATGACGTTATAGTGATGTCTTTCCTAAATCATGAATATACGACAAGAAAATATTTAAATCTATAAAATATATTTTAAGATTGAATTTATGTATTGAACTAATTTACACAATTAATATGAGCCGAAGAATTTTTTAATTTTGCAGATTCATTTAATCATAGCTTCAAATTCAAAATGTATTTAAAAAATAAATCAAGTATGAAAAATAAATTAACAATCATTTTTATCTTAACAAAAGTCAATATGTATTTCTATAAACATTCAATAATTTGTAACATCGAAAATATGAAATTTAAAATTCATTTAACTTGTTTTAGTATTAATTATTACTTAAAAATTGAAATATTTCGATGTTCAATTGTCCATTTTAAATAAAGTAGATATCTAACTAACATTCTCTAATTCAAAATTTTTTATGTTCATTTGTAAAAACAGGAAACATGGTAGTAATATTAATTATTTTCTTTTCCTTGGCAAATAA